CAGTTACATGTAAAGGCTATTAGAATGTTTTAACAATGTAGTTACATATGCATCACTCAGTAATTTTTTCCTTCTAGTTTCTAAAACTAATGGATCCATTAAAAAGACAAAGGTAGAGAGTCAGAGGGCAAAGCTGTCAGAGTCTATTATATTCATACCACAAATTTCAGTAGCCAAATCAAAAGAAATAGAAGTTGGTGGTTTTGGTCTAATTAACGACTTGATTGCTACTTTTGGAACATGTCTGATTGCCTGTATTGTTTGGACAGCCTGTGGCAAGTAAGTGGATATCTTCATCCTGTGAGATTATTGCTTTCCGTAAAGCATTATTGAATCCAGTCATTGCAAGGCAATTTCAACGATTTGTGGCCCTGAAAGGAGATTTATTGGAAAATGGAGTACTTTTTTGGCAAGAAGTACAAAAGTTTAAGGTATTGTATTGGGAACTGGAGAAACCACTTTTGTTTGAAGAGATGGTGCATTAAGATAACAGATGCATATGGATTTGTATAATATATCTCAGTATTGCCAGCTCCCTTTGTGTGAATGTCTAAATATTGGCATACGTACTGTCTGCTGTCTAGAGGCACCTCTTGCTGTAATGAAGAGTCAGAGTGAGCCCCCATGATAGTATTTGTGCTTTCGAAACATGTAACATGGCCTAGTTAGTACATTTCTCTCTATCACATGCATCTACAAATGCACCACACATTTTTCCTGGAGACATTCTTAATTGATATAGCCATATAACAAAGACCTTTTTACAAGAATTCTTCCTAATCAAGTGTACAGTGATAATAACCAAAAATACTGGTTTACAGGTGAACTGGCAGGGACAAGGAAAGTTCTTCTGCGAGAAACAGTGGCCACATTCAGAGCCAAAAAAGTGAAAGGATTGGGGTTAGGTGCAAAGGCAGCTTGGTTTCAGGCTTGGAAGTTTCCGTAGACTCCTTTATTCTCTGCCTTGGATAAGAGAAGACGGCCTTCTTTGTTTTGCTATCTAGATGTGCCTGAGCGGTATTTAGCCCCTCCTAAATACTTCCAGGGGTATGGGCTGGTTTCCTAACAAGCACCTTGTTCTATCTCACTGCAGAAGTGTGGGGAAAGAACACACTTAGTTGAGATAATGGCTTCTGTCGGCTCCTGCATGTGTCTCGAGCAGCACTAACCCACAAGATAATGGCTTCTGTCGGCTCCTGCATGTGTCTCGAGCAGCACTAACGAGTGGCTCAGTGAGCAGCAGTTTAACCAAATCCACGTTTTCTTTCTTCTTGATTAGTTTTGTTGTTTTCCTTATTCTCCGTTTTAATGTCTCTTCTGCAATATAGCTTCAAAGTTGAGGTGATATTCCTCCTTCAACTTCGTTGTGACTCAAATAAGAATGACCCCCGTAGGCTCATAGATTTGAGTGGCTGGTCATCAGGGAGTTACACTTCCTGAGAAGGATTAGTGACCTGCTGGAGTAAGAATGACCTTGTTGGAGAAAGTGTGCCACTGGGAGTGAGGTTTCAAAATCCCATGCCAGGTCCAGGGTCCTCTCTCTCCTCTCTCTCTCTCTCTCTCTCTCTCACTCTCTGCCTGAGGATCAGGCTATAGCTCTTAGCCACTGCTCCAGTGCCTGCCTTCATGCTGCCATTTCCCACACCATGATGATAACGGACTAAACCTCTGAAACGATAAGCAAGCCCCCAATTAATGTTTTCTTTCACAAGAGTTGCCTTGCTCATGGAGTCTCTTCACAGCAGTAGAGCACTGACTAAGACAGAAACTGGTACCAGGAGAGGGGTATTGCTGTGACAGACCTGACCATGCTGCTTGTTGGCTGAATGTAGACTTCAGAACTTTGGATCATGGAAGTAGTTTAATGCTATAAATTGGGACCTAATATTCTTACTGGTCGGAGCATGGAAGACAGTGGTGCTGAGAGCAATGTAGATTGTAAAGCCCCATTCAAGAGCTTTCGCAACAGAAGAATATTAGCAAGTGTCCTAGACACCATTTTTGTGATATTTTGGCTAAGAATATAGCTGCTTTCTGCCCTTGCCCCATCCCCCCAAAATCTGCCTTAGACTAAATTGAAGAGTTTTGGTTTAATGAACAGCATTGGCAGAACAGATTTAAAGACAGCCTACTACTGACGGTGTCATGTGATTATTAGTGGCCAGCCTTACGTAGATTTATAATGAACAGGAGCACCAGGAAGTATCACATCAGCCTGACTTGTGAATTCCAGAGGGAAGTTTGAGAGACGCTTAAAGATTCAGGGTCATTTGCTACTTGGAGTTCAGGATCTGTGGTTCTGGTCAGCTAGGGCTAAGGAGTCAGCTGTGATTAACGAGAAACCAGAACCACTGAAGCAAAGGCTTTGCTTTACTGGGACAGCTGATGCTGGTCAACTGGAGCTAAACAATTAGGGGTGATTAAGAAAAGACCAGCATCATTGAGGAAGAATCTTCTGGGAAGTATTTCCTCAGAGTCAGCACACAGAAGCGGTGTCTTTGTGCTGGCAGTCGAACCTGGTAGTGTCCGAGTCACCCAGGTGGTACTGGCTTTAAAGGCATGAAAGGGGTCCTAGGGAGCAACTGAGGTTTGGCACTGTGTGCCGGCTGGAGTCCCTGTAAAGGAGGCTATTGGTGAACCTGCAGCCGTTTCCGACAACAGATTCCAGCATTTTGGAGACGGCGCTATCACAGGATGACCACCAAGAACGGCAGTGGGTACAGAGTAGTGCCAGCGGGAACTTTAAAGACAAGTAGTGGGCGCCGCAGAGAGATCTGGAGAAGTGACCCGAGTCCTTGGCAGGAGCTCAGAAGATCATGAGTGAATTCCAGATAACTGGATGTCGGGTTATTTACACTCTTGGAATTTGGTTTTGCTTTAGTCAGACTGTGACTGTGCCCGATTCTTCCACCTTGAACTAAGAAAGTATTTAATTTAATTTTAATTTGATAGGCACCCACAGTCGAAAGACTGAATTTTAAAAGATTTTGGAGTTTAAAAAGACTGGCTATTTTAAAGAGACTGAATTTTTAGGTGCTTGAAATTTTGAGTACTGTGGGTCTTTTAAATTTTGGGATATTTTATACTGTGATATTTTTATTAATGTGAGATCTTGGGGATGAATATTGTCTTAGTGAGGGTTTTATTGCTGAGAAGAGACGCTATGACCACAACAACTCTTACAGAAAACATTTAATTGGTGTGGCTCGCGTACGATTTCAGAGGTCTAGCCCATTAGCATCGTGTCAGGGAGAATGGCAGTGTGCAGGCAGATGTGGTGCTGGAACTGAGAGTCCTACATCTTGCAGGCAACAGGAAGTCAACTGTCTGACTAGGCATGGCTTGAGCATATATGAGACCTCAAAGCCCACCTCGCTAATAACACACTTCCTCCAACAAGACCACACCTAGTCCAACAAGGCCACACCTCCTAATAGTGCCACTCCCTTTGGGGGCCATTTTCTTTCAAACCACCACAAGTAAGAAAGGAAAAGCTTGATAGTGGTGTGTTTGTGTGCCAGGCTGACAAGGTGTCAGCTGGGCTGGCTGGCTTGATGTCAGCTTGACAAAGCTAGAGTCACGAGAGAGGAGAGAACTTGAATTGAGAAAATTCTCCAACATCAGGCTGTATGCAAGCTTGTAGAGCATTTTCTTAATTACCGGCTGATGGTGGAGGGCCCAGTCCATGTGTGCGGTGCCATCCTTGGGATGGTGGTCCTGTTTTTTGTAAGAGAGCAAGCTAAGCAAGCTATGGGGAGCAAGCCAGTAAGTAATAGCCCTCTATAGACTCTACATCAGCTGCTGGCTCCAGGTTTCTGCCCGGACTTCCTTCAGTCATGAACAGCAATGTGGAAGTGTAAGCCAAATAAACCCCTTCCTTCCCAAGTTGCTTTTTGGTCATGGTGTTTCATCAGAGCAATAACAGCCCTAACTGGGACAAACTCCTAGGGTTCTGGCATTACAGTTATATGTTATCACACCTTGCCAGCTGTGAACTTCATATCTGTGTTATGACTTTTTGTCCCTATGACCAAAGTACTGGAGAGAACAATTTAGAGAGAGGAGGGCCTCATTTGGGCTCAGGATTCAGACATTCAGGCAGGCCCTTATGTCCATTTGAAGACACTGTGGCAGACAGGAAGCAGAGAAAGGGAAACAGGAAGGAAAATAGAGGAGAGAGTAGCCCAGTGACAGGTCCCGTGACCTGCTTCCTCCAGGCAGGCTCCATCCTCAGCACCTCCCAGTAATGGCTTTATGCTCTGGATCCACAAAGCAGCTGTCCTCAGGATCTAAGCATCTTTGGGATAACAGTTACAGGCACACCCAGAGCTCTACTGTAGCAATCCCTTTGGTGTTCTCGATTCAGTCAAACTGGCAAAAATCATCACAAGGACTAAATTTCCTCATCCAAAAAGCTTAGCTATCCAGTGTGCCAGGCATTATGCTTGATTATAGGAGTGAAAAGGTGAGTAGTGTGCCCCTCCCTTCCTCGGGGCAGTGGCACCTGTGGAAACCAATAGAAAGGAGTGTTAGTTATGAGCGTGTTCTGACGAGGTGAAGGTGACAGTTGAGAAGCAGGGTGGTGAGTTAGGAAGGGCTCGCACAAGTGTTGGTTGGCATCTGTATTAGGTCTTGAGGGAGTGTGACCATAGGAAGGCATTCTACCCGGAAATGTCGTACTGGACTAACTCTTTTTTTTTTTAAATATTTATTTATTTTATTTATTTATTATGTATACAATATTCTTTCTGCATGTATACCTGGAGGCCAGAAGAGGGCACCAGACCTCATTACAGATGGTTGTGAGCCACCATATGGTTGCTGGGAATTGAACTCAGGACCTTTGGAAGAGCAGGCAATGCTCTTAACCGCTGAGCCATCTCTCCAGCCCCCTGGACTAACTCTTAAATAGCTTACTTTAAAACTTGTTTGGAGGTCCAAACAGGGAGTGCAAATAATCATAGACCCTTCGTGAAAGAGTGGTCATCTTCTACAATGGACCCTGCAGCTCTGGGAGAGACACATGGGGTGACCATGGAGGAATGGGCCTCCCACCCAGACAGATTGCCTTGACTCCCATGACTTACTCATACTGTTTCCCATCTGCCAGGGTCCTTTTATTGCTTCTCTCATGATCATGGGATCATTATTCACAAGAATCCCTTGATATCAAGGGTGTTATAGTTAGCATTTTACAGGTGAAGATGTTAAAACACAGAAAAGCTAAGAAACTTCCAATAGGAGGTAGCTCGTGAAGTGATAGAGTGTGATGTCAACCAAGTCGTTGTGTCTCTGACCTCTGTGTCATAAGCCACAGAGCTGTGCTGTTTCCTAGTAATGGCACTGGACATAGGCAAAGAGACAGCTCAGGTAATCTTGGTCAAACAGTGTTCTGGATTGTGAAAAATCAGAAAGAACCAAGTCTACAACAGGATATTGGCTACTTAATTTAGACATCGATTCATTGCTACAGTCAATAAAGATTGTTTAGGAGAATGATTATTGATGTAAATATTTATCTATTGATTATCTATTGAAAGCTAGTTCCTGAGCAACTATGTGACTTCATATAAAATTTGTGTTCATGGAAGTATTTGTAGGAAAAAAATGGAAGGATATATTCCAATCTCTCAAGTTTTTCTTGACTCCATCCCTTGACACAAGGGCTAAGGTGAATGCTAAGTAAACAACAATGACCAAATAGTGTTCCCTCTCTAAAGAGAGACAGAAGAGGGGGTGAACAAGACACGTTCAAGGCCCCGAATATTAGGGAAGAGGGTAAGATGGCATCTCTATTGGCTGAAGGAGTCACAGAAAGCTTACTAGAGGGAAGCATTCTTAACCCTAGTAACGGGTGAGAGTTAACAAGGCAAGAGCCTTTAATCCCAGCACTCAGGAGGCAGAGGCAGGTGGGTCTCTGTGAGTTCGAGGCCAGCCTGCTCTACAGAGCGAGTTCCAGGATGGCCAGGGTTATATAGTAACATCATGTCTTGGGAAAAAAAAAAGAAATTAGGAAAAAATATCAGTTATGATTCTAAGTTCTATCCCGTTAGTCATAATTAATAGTCTGTAACATTGCAAATTTGTTTTGACCTCACAAGTTTAAATTCCATAATTATAATCAAGTTCATCAATGATTCTATAATGATCCTACAAGTGAACAGTGAGTATTTGAAATACACCAGACTTAGGCTGTGCAAACAGACGTTTTCTGAGTTGATGCTAAATTGAGTGGTCATGCTGCCTAAAATGGAGTATTAATATTAAGCTTTTTTTCTAGATAACATATGGTAAACCCTATATAAAAGTTTCACATGACTGGTGCCAAAAGTTTTCTTTCTTTAATATCCAAACACATCTCTTATAGTAACTGGTGTTTGTTGGGTACTTAGTCAGTGTTAGCTCATTTCTGGCCTAGAAGAAGTTTCCAAATTTGTTTGCTTTCAGCTGATTTACAGAGCAAAATTTTTGACATAAAAATGCTGTAATTCAAGCCAAGCTATCTATTAAAAAATACTGTCTCCGACTCCGACTTTAAAACTAGAACATTTTAATGTACTACTATGACTTTTAAAATCCCTCTAAAAGGAATGATGTGATGACGTTATGGCCGAGACATGAAAGGACCCCCAGGGGCTCACTGGCACTGGTAAATACGTGGTGGCCAGCTGGAGGCACTGTTTTGCAAAGTAGAGGTAGGGCCTCGCTAAGGACGGGTCATGACATCATGAAATCGAAGGACATTTGCCTCAACCCAGTCTCTCCCTCCCTCTTGCTTCCCAGAAGCCATCCAGTCGAGGGCTGTGGTCTTGAACCTCTGGAGCTGTACACTGAGTTTGAAAGACCCCCAGAGGGTGTCTTAAACACTTGGAGACCCTCGCCCAAGAACCAAGTCCGAGACACTGGATGCAAGAGGCACTTTTTATTGTTCACAGCACCTGTGGGTGCTGCAGTCATGTGGAGGACTGAGCACCCCGGGCTGGGTTTTGGGGCAGATTATATGGGGTTGGGGTAGGCAGAAGCAAGCGTACAAAAGCAGATGCATGGTTACAGGGGTCTCATTGGTCAATTTTAATGAGGCCATGAGGTCATGTCTAAGACAGGTGTCGGCTTTCTGCTGGGTGCCTGACAGTTTGGGGGCTTTTTGACAGTTTGGGGACTTTCCATTCCTCTCCCTTAATCTTGTTCATGTGGGTGGCATAACTCCTGGTGTCTAGCCGCAGGCATCCTGTTATGCAGACTCGACAATAACATCTGTGTCTTTGTTATGAGCCCCAAGACCTTGTTATGAGCCCCCAATTCTTGGTTCAAGCCTTGCTTATAATGACGTTACAGCAACTAAACAGCCAGGTGGGGGTATTCCAAGTTGAGGACACACACACACACACACACACACACACACACACACACACACGAGTTGCTTTCCCTTGTACTTGCTCACAATGCTGGAACTGTAAGGATGTTCTTGTTTCGCAGCAGCAGGCAGACTTGCTGGTCTTGTAGAGGCAGAAGACAAGATGGAAAGCTTTCGTATCCACCTGTAACTGGGTAGGTTACTGTCACAGTAGGACACTGTCACAGCATTTGGGCAATAGGCTTTCACATGTCTCCTCCAGGGACAGCGGGCCTCGTGCACCACATAAGTGTTAACGAGTCAGACTTGCCTAGGGAAACAAGTGATAGAAGTAAATGAAAGCAAGGCGCGTGCACCGAAGCACCAGGCTCCCCGGGTCTAAAAGAAAGGATTTTAAAAAATAGCTCTGACACGTCGCCTTGCCCTTCCAAGCCCAAGCTAAGCGGTAAATGCTGTAAAGTGCTCTGAAAAAGCCTCAATCCCATCCTGCTTTGCGGCTCCTGCTTCCTGTCCAGGATTTGTGCCACTCACATTGTAGTGAGGCCATCATCCAGAAGAAGATCACAACCATCATCAACTGCTTCATCAACTCCTGCATCCCCCCAGCTCTGCAGATTGATATTCCAGTTGAGCAGGCCCAGAAGATAATTGAACACAGGAAGGAGTTGGGACCGTACGTGTTCCGAGAGGCACAGGTAAGAGCTGGAGGCGCCGGCCGAGCGTGTGTTGAAGTACACCAGTAGTCAAGGTATTCTTTAAAGGTCTTCCCTTGCTCATGTATGGCAAGATTTTAATCTCCCTGGTACTGGGATTTGCTCTCTTTAATGTGGATATCTTTTGCCTACATCATTAATATATAATAAATATACAAAGCTAGTAACTTTTATACTGTTGTTGATAATGCCGTAAATAAAACTAAATAATATACTTTGACTTTTCACAGTTACTATTTTTATATACGATCTGTAAAAATGCTCCAGGTAATTCCTCCATATTTTCTCGCCATTCATATTCCCTTTTAAAGTATCCACTACCACAAAAATGTGTAAAATACATGTGTCTTAAAATTTGTATATTTTTAAAGCTTGAAATATTCACATAGCTCATAAAATAAGTGAGAGGAGATTTAAGCGCTCAGCCAGCATAAAGTACATACACTCACGAAAGAAACTCAGGCCTCTTTTAACCTGCTCAAGTTACTTCTTTTTAAGATAAATAATAGAAAACATTGACTCGGTGGGCATAATTTATTTGCATTTTGAAAACCCTTTTAGTGATGTTGTTCCTAAAAAATGATTAAGAAAAATAAGTTATAATAGGGGTAATGAGGAAGGCCATGTCACAAACTAAGTGACAGGAAACAGATCTGGGGAGTGATTGCCCGGAGCATGGAAAAAGGCCATTATCCCTCAGCATTCCTTTGTAAGCTATCTGTGTTCAAGTCCTCCAGGGGACTGGAAGGAGACTCACAGTCCAAATTATGCATTAGAACAGGCAGCGGGGCGATTGAGGATGTGCAAGAGAGAAACAGAAAGCACGGCACCCAAACTGTAGCATCTGCTGAGATGGCCTCACCTTGTTGTCTTGGCAAACCAGAACCTCAGGTCTGGGCGTAGATGTCCAGAGTGGGACCGGTGTACTCAGGCTTACCACGTCTATCTGATTACCTAAAGTGGAGCCATAGAGGTAGCTTAGAACACCCGAAATACTGAATCTTCACCTGAGGTCCTCTTTCCTGTTTACCGGAGCCCCAGGTCTGGTCGCCATTCATACGTCCTTCCTCTCTCTCACTCCCTTAACCCCACACTCGATCAGTCATTAAAAGTCAGTCGTGTATCTCCTTGTTGTGAGGGTCTATTTTTCTTCACCTCTATGTCACTTCAGGTCTGCAAAGCCTATTAACTATTACCTATTACCATAGTTCCCGTCTCTGGCTCACTCCAACCAACTCGCTGGAAGCAAAGTACTTTTTCTCAAAATGGCGTCTGATCATGCTACCCTCTGTTTAAGATGCTTTGCTGTCCCCCGCTGCCCACAGAGAGAAGTCAGCTTGCTACACACCCAGAGCCGCATCCCTCACCACTTCTGTTCCCTCTTCCTGGGGTCGCTGAAATAATCGACCTTTTCCGCCTTTAGCCCTGAGTTCACGCAGGTCCATCTTCTCTGCCTTGTGTTTCTCTGTCCTGACTTAAAACACTGAGCCCAAGGTTTCCCCATCTGCTAGCAGTGAGCAACGTAGTCCTACATTGATTAATATATCTTAGAATTTGGTCATTTTTAAGGTGCTGCAGGTACAGGGGAATGTGTACTAATTGAGGCCAGCTTGGTCTAAGAGAGAGTTCAAGACCAGCCTGGTCTACAGAGTGAGTTCCCTGGCAGCCATTACAGATACAGAGAAACACACACACACACACACACACACACACACACACACAAGGAATGAATAAATAATTACATTCACACCTAGAAAACCTGAGTAGTGATTTTTGCTAATTCAGGGCTCAAGTACTGACTTTGAAAGAATTGCCTCTACCCTAAGAGTTGGCTCGGAGCCTAATGGACGGCTCATTCTTCTTCAAGGCATTAGGTAAAGGCCACTTTAGCCAGCCGTAAGATGTTGGACTTGATTTGATGTGGCAAGCCCTACTTTCTTGGAAGTAACTTATGCCTCTGGAGTTATTGTAAGACCTCGGCATGGGAATTACAGCAGCTACTCTTATCTCTATGAACATCACAATTAATCACTTAATGTGCAGGGTCCTCACAGAGCATTGGCCTAGGGTGCTGGTTTTGCTTTTCAAATGTTACTTTTTCTTGCTCTCACATAAAAGAGATTATATCATTTAAAAGTTACTCAAGATTTATTCTTAGATTCGCAGCTTTGTTTAAGAGCCTTTCCAGAGACAAAATGGTATTTCCTTTCTCTAAAAGACAGAGAAAGGCTCGGGGGAGTTTCCCTTGAAGAACTGAATACTTGGAATACTTGCATGAAACAGCAGAGTGCGGCTGACCAACTGGGGCAGCGCAAAAAGAAAGCATGAATTCCTTATTTAAAAAGACCTAATGGAGTCTTTAGTAATGCAATCAATGGGTTAGGGAAACATTAAGAATAAAGTCACTTTCAAGTATACCCGGTGAGTGTTTTAAAGGACTTCTGTTGGTGGTGAAGGGAAGCTGTGGAGAGAAATCTGCGCTGTGCTCACTGCACTAAGTCTGCAAACAATAAGGTGGTGGGGCTTGGGGGTTGTGCGGTGTATCTAAAGGGTGGAGAGTCCACGATTACGGCAAGTTAGAGTTAATTTGGCACATTTGTAGAGAATGGTGATCTGAGATATAGTTTTTTTTTGTTTTTTTTAATACAGATGACAATTTTTGGGGTTCTGTTTAAGTTTTGGCCACAGTTTTGTGAGTTTAGGAAGAATTTAACAGATGAAAAAATTATGAGTGTTTTAGAGAGAAGACAAGAACATAAACAGAAAAAGAAAATGTCAGAGTCAGATGAAGACAAGATGGGAAAGGTAAGCCTGAATCCATTCTGGATAGAATCGCACTTCTAAAGGATAAGGTGATGCGGCCCAGAGTGGAATGTGGACTGGGGAAATGCACAGAGAAGTTATAGCCACAGGCATTAGTGACTTCAAACCTTTGCCCTCGTTCACAGCTCTCGGACTGTTCTTGAGTTTCCCAAAATTGATGTCAGGTGTGTTCTCTTTTTCACACCTAGACAACGTCAACAGCTTCCATCCCCTAGAGTGAAGTTACGTGTGTGTGTGTGTGTGTGTGTGTGTGTGTGTGTGTGTGAGAGAGAGAGAGAGAGAGAGAGAAGGGGGCACATGTGTGTGATGTACACACATGTGGGGGTGCCTATGTATGTACATGTAGATACTTTGCGTCCTCCTCCGTGATCTATGATCTGTTACTATGAGGCAGGGTCCTCAGTGAACCTGGAAGTAGCCTGGCCCAGTGATCCTCTGGTCTCCATGCCTACAGCTCTGGGGTCTCAGGGGACCCAACCACACCCAACTGTTCTGCCACAGTGTGCACATGGAAGTCAGAGGATGACTTGTGGGGTCAGGGTCTCTCCTTCCACCATATGAGTCCCAAAGGTGATCCGGCTTGGCAGCCAGGGCCTTCGCTCTTTGAAGCCCACTTCTTCCATTTTCCCAAGAGTTCAGGGAGCTCAAAGTCAAGTTACCAGGCTGGTGTGGCAAGTATCTTCACCCGCTAAGCCGTCTCTCCAAGTCCCGCTTCATTTAAATACCCCTATTATATATGGTCACCACTTACTAGTAACTGTAAACTTCACCCTTGTATTTATTTTAATATGGAAATGTAGGAGGACCAATATAGCAGTAGCAGATATATGTTTCAAATTCTTACTGTCATTGAAGGTAGATGAACGAATACTAGAAAATTGAGTATAGGTAATCTATGACTTTTTGTGATGTGAAAATGTATACTGAAAATAATCTGTTACTTTGCAAGAGATAAAACTTCTCTGTGGGCATGACTCCCCTCAAATGTCAGTTTCTCTATCAGCTAATGGTAATAGTATTTATCTTACATGACTTGAGGGAAACTGATTGACATGGTATATATGAGAGACCATTCTTGTGTAGTTTTCAAATATTATTTACTCATTTGAGACCATACAGCATAGTAGGTAAGGAGCCTTAGGTAAGACTTCCTGGCTTTGAATCCCAGCCCTATGGTTAGTTCCAGTCTCTTTAATTCTGTTTTCTTTTTATTATTATTTAAAATTTTCATGGGTATGTTTGTGTATATATGCCTCATGTGTTCAGGTCCCTGTGAAACCTAGAAGGGTTGGGAATTCCTGCAGCTGGAGTTACAGCTCTGAACCACCCACCATGGGTGCTGGGAACTGAACTTGGGTCTTCCAGAGAGCATCAAGTGGCATCCCCCCAGCCCTAGTTTTGCCCTAGTTTGGTCCCTAGTGCCATGTGAATAAGCTGGGCATGGTGGCATGGACTGGTGATCCAGCGCTGGGCAACAGAGACAGGAGGAGCCCCAGACTCGCTGGTCAGCAACCTAGCAGGAAAGACCCTGTCAGAAACACTGTGTTGAGAAGCAACACCTAAGGCTGCTCTCTGGCTCCATGGTCAGGTGTATCTGTACATTTATGAGCACGCACACACACACACACACACATACACACACTTGTTTGACATATATTGTTTAAGATGTTCATTCTTTCTACATGTTTCTAGGAAATTGTTATACGTGGCAGAATCATCCTAAAAGTGAGCACAGGTGTATGTATACTGACTGATTTCTAACACACAGAGTTGGAAGTGACCCTAGTTTCTATCTGGAAGGATGAAGGGAGGCATCAGGCACACTCTGTTCATCTGCTGATGATAACGGCACAGTTAGGCTGTCACCACCCAGCAGATACCTGAGGGCATGAGACCATTCAGTCAGTACAGCGTATGCTCAGTGTCTGTTCTGTCCCTCATCATCTGGAACATTTCCCCATAAGTACATGAGAAAAGGAACACATAGACTTTGATTCCATGTTTGTGGGGGTTACAGTTTTTTATGTCCATGCATGGCCTCTAGTGGAAAATCTGGTTGTATGTTCACGAGAACTATAGTCTTTATTTGATGCTTGGATTTTTATATTCTACCTCATTGTCTCACTTCTCTTTAAATGTTTTTAAATGAATATGGCCAATTTAGAGGTCAAAGTAACTGGCATGAAGCTCCAAGTGTAGACTCACTATGAACTGATTTCTTACACAATATTATAACTTCCCACAATCTTGTTCTCTGTTTTCCCTTACAGGCTGGACTCAAGCAGTATTCAAGCACTACAGGCTCCCTAAACAAAGCGCCTTTAGCCAGCGAGTCCCTGCTGGGCCTGCAAGCCTATGGCCGGCAGGTAAGATGCCAGGGCCCGCTTCCCCTCTAGAGCAATGGGCGCACAGTGACTTGGTCACTCGGCAGCAGGAGGTTGTGTACGAGATGCGCTAAAAGAACTCCAGAAATAACATCTGGCCAGTGTGTGGTATAGGTGTGAAAATAGGTTACAATGGTAATCCTCAGAGAACATATAGATTACCCCATCATAACAAAGGAAAATCACGTTTTACAGGTTTGGAAGTTTTCCCCCCAGAGCATGCTGGGAATGGCAGTTCAGGGCCTTGTGCACACAAAACATATAGCCCCCCACTGAGCTCTTCCTCAGCTAGTGTTGGTTTACCTTGAAGACAGCGAATTGACTCTTTCTGGAGAAAGGAATAAGAATACAACAACCTCCGTAGATTAGTGTACTGAGTTCAGAGATGGCGCAGAATCTAAGTGCTTAGTCTCAGTTTCTTAATTCTTTGTATTACATGCTCACCACCCAATACATTTGTATTTTTATGTTTACAACTAACACGCCTTCATATCAATTCTCTGAAACATGAGTTTAATTTACAGCCATTTTTAGTGACTTGTATTTAAAAATGCTTGGACCTTAGGACAATACTAACTCATAAAACAGTCTTTTCTCCACTTAGAAGTGCCACATAAATTGCTACCCAACTGAGGTTACTAATAGGCTCTAACACTCTCATGAAAGAAGAGAAATGGTTGATTTTGTAGATACGTGTACTGACAGGTCTATCTGAAATGGATGAGACTCAGGTACGCACATGAGGACATGATCGGCTTGACCTGTTGGGAGCACATCACAAGCTTCAGCGAGGGATGCAGACACAAAGGTTTCGTCCTGAGCTCTGTCCGCATCAATATTACTCTGCTGCCTGAAACGAGACATAGAATCCCCTCTGATCAAAGAGAGAAGGGTGATGGTGAGGATAAATGATGATGTCACTGATAATAATCATGTCCTGTGAGTGCCTTAAGATGTCAGAGGCACTGTGTGTACACATTTACTTTTGACTTTTGCTTTCTGTAGGGAACTGAATAGCTGGATGTCAGAGGCACCTTAAAAATATACATATTTACTATTGATTTTTGCTTTTTAAAGCGTGCACGTTGTCACTCTAGAAATTAGGGAAAAATAATCAATTAATGTTATTCAGTAATCAATCTAAATTCAAAATTATTACCCCAAAAATAATCTCGGATGTTTTATAAGCATCTAAGTTTGTAATCAATATAAAGATAGCTGAGCCGCTGTTGCTGAGCCCGTAAGTGTTTCAAGGAACCACTTGTTTGTCCCGGCTGCTCAGCCCCAAAATAATCGCACAGGAACTGTATTAATCAAATCACTGCTTGGCCCATTAGCTCTAGTTTCTTATTGGCTAACTCTTACATATTAATTTAACCCATCTCCATTAATCTGTGTATTGCCATGTGGCAGTGGCTTACCGGCAAATTTTGGCATATCTGACTCTGGCGGCAGCTCCATGGTGTCTAACTCTGCCTTCTTCCTCTCAGCATTCAGTTTAGTTTTCCCTGCCTACCTAAGTTCTGCCCTGCTATAGGTCCAAAGCAGTTTCTTTATTCATTAATGATAATCACAGCACACAGAGGGAAACCCACATCACATAAGCTCTTGTCCCATTGTTCACTGAGCAGCAGTGATAGCTGAGCCGCGGTTGCTGTGCCCATAAGCACTGTGCCATTGTTCACTGGGCAACAGTATGGTTGTCTGAACATTCTTCCTCACTCAGTGAGAGAATTTACAGATTCAGGTCAAGGCTACAGAAAGAAGTAGCTTTGTTATGGAATAAACATTATGAAAGGAGAATAAACTAGGTAGATAGAGATCTGTGGTACACAGTTTAAAAAATTAAAATGTATAAGTGGGGAAATCTGTATTATCATTTGAGATATATGATAGAAATATCTCAAATATATTCTTCTTTTTGTTTCAATTTGCTTTGTTTTTTAAACAGAGTATCACTGTATAGTCCAGGCTGACCTGGGCTTTACTAGGTACCTCAGGCTAGCCTCAGAGATGTGCTAATCTCAGACTCATTCATACTGGAAATCCAGGCATGAGCTACCGCAATTGGCGAGGATGTACTTTTCTTAGTGCATGTTATATGTCAATAAGAAGTGTAAACAAAGGAATAATGAGATTTATTTTATCTCTAGTCAGCTCCTGAGGGAAATCTGGCAAAGTTTTGATAATTAAGTTTGAAAATTATTTTTTTCAGCCAACCTGGTGCTATTCAAAGTACATAGAAGCCTTGGAACAAGAGCGGATTCTTCTGAAAATTCAAGAAGAAATGGAAAAGAAAATGTTCACAGGTAATTTTTGCCTCTCGTGCACAGAGCTGCTCTGTTGCCGCCTAGCACAGACTAATTTTAGGAGTTTGCACCAGCCACTTCACTGTCTGTCCCTCTCTTATCTTTGTGCAGGTAAGCATCTTTCACAAACTTGCTTAAGCTTCCCACAGGTCCCGCTATGTCTTTGAAGAAGAACTTGTCTCTCCTCAGCTCCTGTTCTCTTTCTGCTTTCCTAACCGTCCAGAACCAGAGGCACTGCCTCTCCCCCGCCACCAGCTCCTCGCCCTCCAGTTAGGAGAATGCTCAGTCTCTCTGTGTCTCTAGGGTTTCTCCTCCGCTGAGAGGAGCTGTCACAACCCATACCCAACACATCTGTTTTCCAGGGTAGCAACATTCAAGCTGCCGTTCGCATTCTGCTCCTGAGAGGTGCAAGGTGAGCCGGTGTGTGAGACTCCCTTTTACTGCATACCCTCCCACACAGGCAAATCTGCACGGACCCGAAGTACAGCCCCCTCAGACACACCACTTGCACACTCACTACCAAGTCAAAGAGTAGGACATCTAGTCTTCTGATTTATGGTACAATCTCCCAAGAAGAGATTCCTCCAGGGAAGGTTTGCTTCTGTTTACTACAAGCCAATCCTCTTCCACCAAGAACCCGGGAGGGGAAGTGGGCCCTAGCTCCGGCTTCCTAAGCTTTTCTAAGCTGGGAGTATGTGAAAGACTAAACACCAAGCCCGAGATCCTCTCCATTCAGATACTGATGAACCTGTAGGGTTTTACTGGATTCTATTAACAAGCCCTTTCCAGAGTGGTCTAGCCACAGAATGTGGCGTGCGTGTAAACAGCCAGGCCAGATACACAAAGCAGCCTGTGAAGGCGCCTCTCTTACCCTCTGTCTTACCTGGTTTCACAGTCTCCCATTTTCCGGGGCCTGGGGAAGAGGGGTGTACCTGATATTCTCAGGTTGCCGATCTTGTTTTCTTTCTAGTTGGCCTCCACACTGCTCCTTCCCAGTCCCCCACCTCTAGGTTAAGTTAATAATGCCTGGAACATTAAGGGCACCACGTGTGCTTATTTTCAGTAGAGAGCACTTTTCAATTTTTATCGTTATTGTTTGGCTTTATTTTTCATATATATCTTTGTTTCATGCTTTTTTTTTCTTTTGCAGGGTTTCTTTAAGCCAACTTTAACTAACACTGAATATCCAAGAAGCTGAATGTCCAAGCTTTTGAATAGTCTGCATGACTAGAATACTATCTACTACCTAGACTAGAAGAATTAAAATTGTTTGCCGATCACAGTCCCTAAGGAAAAAGCAGCATTATTCCCCTTGTGCAATCTTTCAACAAATGTTCCTTGCAGGCTACTCTAGTTAGCAGATCTGCTCACTGGTGACTAGGGTGTGAGTGACTATACCTGGTATAACTAACCCAGGCAATAGAAGAGCCTTCCCCCTGCGTTCCCAGCTGGGAGGAGACTGCTGAAGCAACGGTTTCTCCAGCGCAGTGTGCACACGACTGTGACGTAGGCTAGCATCTCCAGCTCCAGGGGCCGCTCCCTGCAAACCTTCCAGTCACTCATGGGAGACACCACTGTTCATCTAAACATTTAATACAGTGATGTGCAGCTTAGTGTGAACCGTCTACGTGACAGTGGCACAGCCTATAGCCACCCAACAGCGTCCCTCGCCCCGCAAGCATGAGCAGGGGGACTGTCTGGATTGCCGATTGGGTGGATGGCTCGCCTTTCCTGTGGGTTAGGCCTGGAGCTGAACCAGGCAGAGGCTGGGGGAGCCAGTGGGTGGGAAGATGGATCCAGTCGCTTCTATTGGTTCTGCATTGTGGATGTGATGTGATTAGCACCTGAGTTCCTGCCTGGACTTCCCCCTACATGAAGGGGTAACCTGAGATTGTAAGCCAAACCCTTTCATCTCTAAGTCAGTTTCTTGCATTTAATATAGTGATACTATATTATAGACAGCTTTAACGGTCTTTAAATCTGACTTGAGTGTATACAGATGACTAAATAAATCCTAATAGTGCTATCTTTGGGCATTTGATGATCTATTCTTCGTGATTTTAATGAGTTTTCACATTTGTGAGCCACAGGTGATGCCAACCTATGCATGGGAACTTGCGGTGTACCTGTCTCCTCTCAGCAGCCTAGGGGAGCGCCTTCCCATGAACTGTCTCCCCAAGTACTGTGGCCCAGACCCCAGCAAAGCCTCATTTGATTGCTCTGGTACCTACTTGTCGTCTTTGTCCTGGGCCGAATGGCTGAACCGGTACTGAGAGCAGGCATCTCCCAGCGCTGCCCATCACCCAGAAGCAGCTGTGGGAGAGTGGCTGGGAGAGTGGCTGGGAGAGGAGCCACAATGCTAAGAGGTGAGGGTTCCGTCACTCCAAGCCCAGAGCTTTAGCACTGAGAAACAAGGGTCCCAACGTTATAAGCTCAGAGCTATGGCTAACTCCTGTGTGCTGACTCACTGGTACAGACAGTCGGGAGCTGTCAGGCTGGGTGCAGTCCGGACAGGGGACTGCCTGCTGCCACCAAGGGAATCACATTTTGCCCGTTTAGGATTCCCATCTGAACAGCAAAAGACTTCTCAGCCGTTTGGGGTTGGGTCACATAGAACTAACATACTCGGCAGTACATGATACAATTAAGTGGGGTCTTCTTGTTTTTATCCCATCATGACAGACTGCTGTTTCTTAGCACCTCCCTACATTCCTCTTAGCCATGGAATTCCCATAACTGCGTAATAGATTTCACCGTCACGTCTCAGTCTACTTCATGGGTAGATGTTACAGAGCAAACACCACTGCCATCATCAGATAAGCTTGTCTGCTTGCAGCAGCTGGGCTTGTGGACTGTGGACATTACTTCATAGAGCAGGTGGAAAAGATCATTGGACACTCAACGGAGTTTCCAGCAACTTCTCTCAGCCATTTGTATACAATTCTGCCCTAATTGCAAATGGTCTCCAGAGCATACACTGAAGGAGACCAACAGAAGGGCCCATCAGTGCGGCCATCATCCATGTGGAGCACGAGCCTTGCTTCTTTTCCCTATGTTTTTTATGTCTTTCCTTTTATTGAAAATAGATTGTTTTCTTATACAATATATCATGATTATATTCCCCCCCTCCCAGTTCTTGGTTATTCATGCAGTGTCGGGTATGGGTTCCTTCTTGTGGAGTGGGCCTTAAGTCAAATCAGGTGTTGGTTGGCTATTCCCACAAGTTCTAGGCCACCACTGAGCCCAAGCCTTCTAAGACCCGCTGCTTTAGGGTCGGCCATGACGCTTCCGCCAATAACTCCTCATCCATGATCTATAAGCACGCCTAACACATTCATTTCCGAGGGTGAACTCTGGTTTGTCATAGGAACCTAAGGAGGAGGGTGGACTGCTATTTAGGTACCCCAGGGAAGGGGTTTTGTGGCAATAGATATGGCTATCTGACCCACTTCAAGCCCAGAGGAATGTGCACAGAAGTGTGTGGTACCCATCCAAGTCTTCCTGCAAGTCAACGAACAGTTGTGTTTGTTGGTGAACTTCCACACATGAATGGAACCTCTGTGGAATTAGAGTTCCCTCACTCTGGACAATTATGTGGGAGAAAACCAAATCACCATCTTCTTGAATCACTTTCTTCTCATGACTTTGTTACAGCAGCCGATCTAGGCCTTAATTAACACCAAGTTACTACTAGGTGTATGGTAACAAAAACCCCAAAATGCAAGGTCGGTGTATGTCAGGCAAATTTTGGAAGAAATAGTTGGTGAAACTGGTGCCTCAGACGGCTTCAAGGGCAGATCCTGTGCACACTGTGTCCAGAGCTCTAAAAGAGGCTGAAAGGTGTTGATGTTTGTGCACTTGGTGATTGTGCTTTTTAGTAAAAAATTGTGAGAAGGCCTTGGGCAGAAGCTAATCCACTCCCTAGTAGTGCCTGTGAGAAGAGAAGGCCTTGGACAGAATCTAATCCACTCCCCAGTGGATGTGAAGGAAGTACGGCGCAGCCAGGAGGCACATTCTCTGGCTATGTCTTACAACTAAACTTAGTGTAAAGTCTGATGGTTTGTACCCTTCAAGTTCAGAAAGTCAACTATGCAGAATGCCCTCCCCCCTTTCAAAACTGTCTGAGTCTTTTTATTTAGGCGATGGTAGCCTCCTAACCAAGGCCCAAGCAAAAATGAGGCAGGAGTTAGGGAAGGGCTTACGGCCAATCACCAGGTAGCGCAAACACGTGTCTACACCCATGATTGAATGAGTAACACATGACTATGTGCTGGGACATTGACTAGTGTAGAAGGCCGCAACCACATTCTCCATCACAAGATGGCGCTGACATCCGGCTTCACCGCCAGGTGAACGCACACGTGTTGGTATCTTTCCACTTCTGTGTCCCCGCCTACTCCCGAGGCATCACCTGGGACTGGGAGCAGCGGACCAATCCAAGAGTGACACGTCTGAAGCAGGGTCTGTTTCCTATATAAGGGATGGGTTCCATCATATCTGGGTCTCCGCCATGTTGGCTGATGCCCGCTCTCCCAAGGGGCATTAAAGCTTTACTGCAGAAGTATCCTATGTGTCTCGCGTGGTTCTTGCAGGCGAGACGGTAGCGCGGGGCAGACGAGGGCATGGAAACTCCTTGTTGGCTTACCCAACGATGTCCTCAACGTGACCAATCTCAATAAAGACCATTTCAGTCTCTGATTCCTGCCATAAGAACCCATAGACGAGGGCTGAGAAATGGCTCAGCGGTAAAGGTTAATGCACAACCAAAAGGACCAGACCCATAAAGACCCCCGTAGGGCAACACCACAGCATTGCTCCCTTAGGACCCCTCCTGTTTGGGGGAATTCTTTCACACTTTTCCTCAATCTACGTTCATTCAGAACAAATTTCAAGCCCTGGGCTCGGGACAGCTCTGGCGACCCTCAGACACACTGGCCTTGACAGAAAAAGCCTACCAAGAGCCCAGAAAGGCCACTCGACTCTCACAACACCCACCTCAAGGTTACTACCATTTTCATTCTAACTAGTCATTTTTAAAGACCTTACAATAGACGCAATTAAACAAGGAAGCAGCACTGAGCACAGAAACGTGTGGCTGAGGGCTGACTGCTTAAACACTATAATCAGAAGAGATTTTGACTTGGAACTGATACTGACTGGGTTGGAAGCTAAAGTTTTGATGGGATTGTATTCTCAACAAAACCACTAACCTGGCTTGAAAACACTATAATTTTTCAATTTCTGAAAGAACCGCTAGGCCCCCAAACTTGATCAGATGCAAGCTATGAAATTAGTTCAACCCCCATGAAAGGCCTCTGCAGCGCCAACTCGAGACCGAGTCTAGAAGTCAAAGGTACGAGGGAAAAGTTCCTAGAAGTCAAAGCCAAATGCCCAGAGGACAAGGCATAAGAGAGGCCTCTTCGGGGCTCCTGGACACAAGCTGAAATCCATCCACCATTTTTCAAGCCCTCAGACTCTCCTCTGGTTGTGAGTCTACCCTCTACTTCACACACTCGTCAAGTGTGCTCACAATTTCCCTCCTCTTCTACATGAATGCATACTTCCCGTTGGCTTTTTTTTTTATTATTATTCTACCTGTGAGATTGTAAGAGAGGATGTATCATAAGGCATATGTTTGACATATCAAACGTGGAGCTTCTAGCAAGTTTTATTTTTAATTGCTGGGTACAGTGGGACTTCATCTCATGAAAAAGGAACAAAAAGAAAAATATCGTCAAAAACTACCACCAAAGAATTCTAGGCATTTATCCAAGAAAAAATTCCTGAACCTTAGTACAAATAGCTTATAGCCTGTGCCATTTTGAGCTAACGTTATTTGCACATGCACACAAACACACACACACACACACACACACACACACACACACACACACACGCAGGCACACCACCCAGTTACTATCATGTGATAATGCTCCTTGTCTGGGGTAGACGGTTTGTTCCTGGAGAGCATGTAATCTGGGCCAGGATCGTTGTGAAAACAGGAATAACCAATGCACAATGGCATAAAACACAGGAAGGCTGACCTCACCCTTAGGCTGAGGTTGTACCATCGGTTGGGCAAGTTGTAAACGATCAGGCAAACCAGAAAGATAACAAAATCTATGATGAGGCAGCCATGGTAAACATCCACGCATTGCTGGTGGTGTAGCATTATGACAAAGAGTGTTCAACCCTTGAAGCTGGGCCCTCGGCACACTTTAACGACTCCTGGAATCAAGTCTCCTGCAACTCCGCGGCCTGTGATGATTTGGGGCCTGCCCATCCGCCGGGGATTCCTTCTTCTATCGTTGGCCAAGCTCATTTTAAAATGTCCCTGTCAAGCCATCCCTATCTTCTCCCTCAATGGGGTTGGCATCACTTTCTTGTCTCCCACGTACCTCAGCAGTACTCATCCACCATGTTGCCATTTTGGTTGCCTTCTTGATTAGCGGTGCTCAACAGTTTGAGAAGCTGTCCTATAATTACCCCAGACAATCATTTCTTACATCTGTGGGCTACCATGTTTAAATGTAACGGCACAGTCATCAGATGGCTTTGCACCATATGGGGCCTAGTCTATCCCTGTGAAGTTGTATGCCTTAGTTAATCTACTCAGTTTATTGTTGATATATATTCTATAAAGACATATTGAGCTCCTACCCAATGAGCACCATAATTACACTAAGGGTATTGTGTAGGCAGTCAAAGCTGTTTTGTCTTTTTAAAGTACGATTTACTAACTTTTTCTGTTTGTCATCAAAAGAAGCTGAATGTCTTTCAGAGTGTCACACTCCATAGCTCTGAAGTACGGCATCCACATGTAATCTCCGTCCTCGGGAGGCAGGAGCAGAGGTGTTGCTGTCTGAGGTTCCCCTGGGCTGCTTATGAGACTTGGTCTCTAAAAACAGAGAGAGAGATGGGGGGGGAGTAACGGAGAGACAGAGAGACAGAGAGAGAGGAGAGAAAGAGGAAGGGAGAGAGAGAGAGAGAGAGAGAGAGAGAGAGAGAGAGAGAGAGAGAG